CGCACCAGTGTCAGTATGTAGACTCCATATGTCTGTAATGCTTAAATGATTTTTGAATTCATAGCACGGTAGGACTTGTAATTCAGCTTTTCAAAATCCAGTCGTGGTCATATTGGAATCCCACCACGTGGGAAGAGCTGCTTCCCACATGTTCCAGCAGAGGGCGCACATGTGTTAAAAAAGCCCGACGTCTGAGCAGAAGGATGCTCAGCCAGGTGTCGGCTGCAGCATCAGCACCGCTCCTCCTCCAGTTCCCTCCTCCTGCTGCTGTCCGCAGTACCTCTCTCTCTCTCTATCTCTCTCTCTCTCTGTGTGCGTCGTTTCTGGCAGCCAGGGAGAGTGGGGAGGGAGTGGAGAGACGCGCTGGCAACTCCTGCGTTTTCACCGACATTCTTCAATGAATCAGCAACAGAGAAAGCTGCAGGTAAGTCGCACGACTGTAAACACCCCGTGCTTATTTTGCTCGGAGGGCTAGCATTGATTTCCCGAAAAAGTGTCGCACTTATTTTGCTCGTAGGATTTCGGGTCTTGCTGTTCGACCAGCACCATAAATACAGTTTGTTTTTGACTAGGCCCGCATCACGGCAATGCGCGAAGGAATTTAGCTCGACTCTACATATAAATAGCTGTAACCTCGAAGTTGAGTCACAGTGTTGGAGAGAAAGTGAGGTCAGAAGGAAGAGACGGTGCGATGGAGATGGATGGAGCAGGTCAAGTCTCTGTGAGTGTTACTAATGATCCAGTATAGATTTTAGGATTTAAACCAGATCCACTGCACTGAGAGATGACATGGACTTGAGTTTGAAGGATTTTGTTTTCATTTCTCGCCAAATGTCATTTATTGATGAGCTATTTTTTGTGAGTGTATAGACTTCAAAAGCAAAGACTCTCACAGCTTTCTAATACATAACATATAATTCTTGTTAACTGATAGCGGAAAAGCTGCAATATTTTAAATTTCTTGTCGTGTTTGCCCGCTCAGGCTTAAGCTTTTTACCAGTGAAAGTGGACAAATGTACATTTATAATACCAAGGTTTGAAGTCTGATAGTATGATTAATAACTTTTCATTTCTAAGTCCACGAGTGACACTGCTGCACACTCATGCAAACACTAATTCTTCAGTATCTTGACTGCTTTCAAGGAATCCACGGCACAGAGGTTGTATTGATACTTCAGTTCCATTTGCAACACTTCCCATTTTCTCAGTCTCATTGTTGGAGACTTGAGACCTGACAAAAGAAAACAACGGATGGAACAATTAAAAGTGACTGAGGGATTTCACGCTGTTGTTTCAATTGACCGGTGTCGGATGATTGGATTGTCCTTGAGGCAGTTGGATGGCGGTGTCTTTGTTGGGGTGAATCCCCCTTTTTCAGCTGCTTGGCCGAAGTTCTTGTACTTTTTTCAAATCCGTTCTAGTTTGCAAGCGTTAAAGTTCAGAATTTGCCTGTACTACTGAAGTATGTAAACAATGTGCCTCTAATCTGACAGTTTCCGTGTAAAAATAAGTGATGTTTTCAGCATTTATTGGGATTGTCTGCTGCCACTATTGATCTCAGTATCAGAGACTTCCCATATTTATGGATCTTCAAGTCCGTTTTGCTAAATCTCACCAATCCCTCCCGATCATGTTAACGTGGAGGTTGACACTGCATCAAAGCAGGAAAGCAGATCTTACGGCCTTGGCTGTACACTGACTGCTCTAGTTGCTGCTCTCGATGCTGATGCATGTGTGATTGATTCATTACATCTGACCTCTGCTAGGTCTGAAGAGCGATCAATTCATCAGATCTCTGCCAGAAATACCACTGCCGGCTGTGTGTGTGTGCGTGTCTGACTTTGTGTGTTTTTTCTAAGCGTGAGGTTCCTATACCGTGTGTGTGTGTGTGTGTATGTATTTGTTTCTGTAGGTACAGAAAAGCCTATGAATGTAGCACACCGGTATGACCTTCAAGGTTATTTAATAGGACAGAACGGAGGAGAAGGAGGAGGAAGGAAGGGAGAGAGGGAGAAATTGAGATGGGAAGTGAACTGAAGCTGAGAAGGACACTAAAGTTGGTCAGTGTGCCTTTGAATAACATGTCACAAGTGCAAGGCTTTAATTATTTTGAAAAATTTTTGTCTTTTTTTTTTTTAAACATTTTTGCTTGGATGATTGTGGTCTACTAATAAATATAACAGCGGTTTCCCGATAGTGGTGAAATAGGTTTAATGTAAGAAAATGATAGAAAAGGTTGCAGTTATTTTAATAACACAATTGTAAGAATCCTCCACACTTTGGACGCAAGACGCTCTGCACTTGCAAGTGCACGTACACACGCATGTGCCTTATGTGTGAACCGAGCATCAGCACACGCATTCTCGAATTCACGCTGCTTTTGTCTGGAAGGTGGCATTGAGCTTATTGTAGCTCCTCCCCTGCAGTCGCAGGCAAGACATTACAGGGTGAAAAGAGAGGCACGCCTCCCCTCATGACACACAAACACACACACATACAGTTTTCCGTGTCCCACCAGGAGCAGACATGAAAGACCTTTATTCACTTGTGTCAGTCAGTTTAAGCGCTCACCTGATTTTGCTTTTTTTATTTTAAATGTATCTTATTTGTATATTTGTCTCATATTATTTGATTAAGCTACAGATGTTATTAAGAAACTTTATAGAATTGTGTCAGTGAACTTAAAAGCACGTGTGTGATAGAAAGAACCGCTGTAGTTATCCTTGGTTAGGTCTACCTCATTAATGTTTTATGAAACTTCTCAACAGTGTACATCTATGTTCTTTTTTTAGACTTACTCCCACCAAATAAAACCCACTCCCAGAACAGCAGCACAAGGGGATTCTTCTCCTGTGTTGTACTTTCTAGCTTTCCATTATTGAATGTATGAAAACTCTTAAAAAAAGCCCCCCCCCACACACACACTTTTTGCATATCATTGCCCCTCCCAAAAAACCCTCATCTTGCCCTATTCTTTGCTCACCTCTCACTGATCCTTGGGCAGTTCTCCCTCCCCCATACCCCAGGGGTTTACCACTTGCTCATTGCACATACGCTTGCACATTACAATACTAACCAGAATCCGTCACATCCCCGCTCCTTTGCACCCCCATGGCACTCCGCAGCATCATTTTCTGTTTCTATATTCTCTCGAAATAAACACAAGTGACTCAGCTCGTCTAAGTTGCTCTCAGCTTCTCTTTGTCTGGTCCGTCTCGCCTCTCCTGCTTTATGTCTGACTGTGTATGTCTGCGAGTCTTGGTGAGCTTGTGGCATCCTCACAGTCCCACGGAGAATTGCACTATCATTGCACCGCTTTGCATTTGAAATGACCTCCTCTTTGTCCCGCCTCATACAGTTTCGCACAGCCAGCTATGGAAGAGTTAACATTTTTTTTTCTGCGACAGGAGTGAGGCTAGTGGGTGGAGGGGCTTTACTAATAACAATGCGGTGGTGCTGCTACCAGCAGCCAGCATGGACAAACACCCTCTTTTCTGCTCCCTTTACCTCAATAAACCCTTGTCTGGACCTTTGCAAACATGTGTTTTAATGGCACGTAGTTGCTACTTTTAACCTGATGGTTCAGGTTGAATATCCAGAAAGGACTCAGCTTTGTTGTCGTTTTTATTTATTTATTTTTTCCCTCATATTTCCTGCCTTTTTCTTTCATTTCATCTTAGGTCGGCTTTTGTTGCATTGGTCTTGCTTTTTATGTGCCCCATTCTTACATTTAAAAAAATGTAAAATGTAAAATTGTAGTTTAACCATGTAGATCACGTTGCACCATAAAGTTTATTATTATTGTCTGCCCTCACTTTATCCCAGTCCGGCATTACCGACTGCATAGCCTGGTGAAATAGACAGCGAAGCGGGACCGTGTCCAATTTAGTAGAGATTCATCCCGTGTTTTTGCATAAAAAGCAAGGCTAAAATAAATAAATAAATAAGGAGATGGTAAATCCCATAAATAGACGTGTGCATGCATGCAGACCTTTTGTTTTGTTTTTGTTTTTTTAAGCCTCATTCCCCCCCCAGTTAGGAGCTGTTTCTTTGTCTGCCCCTGCTGCAGCGATAGTCACTGCCTGAGCGTGAGCTGTTGTGTGTGAAGGTGATTCTCGTGTTTGATGATCTTTCATTTCGCATGCACTCGGTGATCACCTTGGTGCTATATGGGGTTTTTCGGATCAGAAGTCCTTTTGTTTTTGTTCTGCCTCCTGTGTTGGCAACAATGGGACAAACCTAGCGTGCGAACACGTTTTGATGGATGGATGTGCACGTGAACCCGTGCCAGCGTTTGACCGTTTTTCATTTGGTTTCACCTAATAAATCTAATTTCTGGCATATTGTGATCTGCTGCTGATTTCATAGCAGGCGCCAAACGCCGCCTGCCTGCCCGAAATAAGGGAATAAATCAGCTTTTATTGGAGATCATCTGATATTCTCATTCTCCCTTATTCACTCATATATGACCACCCACTATGACTCAAGATCCTGTAGAAATCCTGTTACCGATTCCCCTGCGATATAGACTTATTCCCCTCCCCCGGGGTACAAAAAGGTGTCCAACTGTAGGAGTAGAGTGGGGGGATGAGCTGAGAGGAAATCATTTGGGCAGATGTAGCCTGCTGATGTGCCATCTATAAGGATGAAAATGAGATTGATTACCTCACCCTGCCCTTATTAACTCTGTATTATTGGGATGAAAGAGAAGAGGGGAGCAAAAGAGACAGAGTTGTTGAGAAAGGCATAACACCAAAGCACTGAAGGGACATCGCTGAGCTCAGTGTTGTGAGCTAAATTGTGTCAGCGAGGCGATGCTGGTTGATGAGGAGCATGTCTGTAAGCACAGCTATAAAGAAAATCGGTGCAAAACAACAATCAAGGAGCTGGAGAAGACTATTTCTGGTTATTTTTGCGCTCCTGTTTGCCTCGCTGTTTCTGTGTGATGGTAATCCCTTTGCTGTGTGCATACTGGGTTATTGCTCGGTTCACACATATAAACAGTCGAGCATACTTCAGTGAATCATCACTTGTGAAATTCTGTCTGCAGGCTATCTATTGTGTCTTGTGAAAATGGAGCGTTTAGCTTATTTCACTCCTATTTCTGTCTGTGTGGTTCGCAGACAGCGATGAGGTGGCGGTAGTGGGGTTGAAAAGGAAGGAATGGATGACTAATTCTTAGCTAATTTGTGAATAGGTTTTTTCGCTAAGCTTTATCCTGCTGGATGATTACGTTAAGGAATGCAATATAAAGACAACATCCTCCACCCCCACCAAATTAGCACAAATATGATAGTTTTTATGTCTTACATCTATCCACGGCTCTAGAACACGGCTTTTCACAAGTTCACACTCTCCAACATGTTCATTGTACAAGGACACACAAGGGTGATGTCATTGGTGATTAATTGCATGTATGCAAAG